TCCATCCTATCCACTAATCCAGAATCCCAGAAAATTCACCTTTGGGTTCCTACAACTATGGCTATCAGGTACTTGATGAATCTGGTAAGGGAAGGGGTTCACAAAGACCCCACTCATCACACCTCATGTCTTGGGCATAGGTACTTGAAAATAACTCTCCCCCTGCCTTCCCCAGACAACCGGACCATGCTCTTGAGGTGAGAATGACCTCCCATGTTGGCTCGGAGTTCCTGACAGCCCCTCACTAGAGGGGGTAGCACTTGAATGCCTAGTCCCACCCCAGAGCTTTCTGGTCTACCAATCAGAGCCCCCGCCCCACAACTCTTTCGCTAACATCTGCCTCAGGGCAGAAGCCACAGTGACCTCTCACTCTGTCCAGCATTCAGACCACCTCGAACCATGTGTATCTGGCTGAGGCTAGCCCTGGGGCATTAGTTCCTGAGAGTCCTAAGGGCCAAGGCTGCCCTCTGAATTTACATACCATCTTTGAGGGTGTCTCATCCTCAGAAGCACAGAGACTGAGCCCAGAGCAGGCAGGGGAAGCTAGGGAGATGGAAGATGAGGATGAAGGAGGAAGGCCGATTTCCCTGGGTGTTCATTGCCTGAAGGAGCCAAGGGGGAAAGGCTGAAAGCGGGGGTCGCTACCCCATCTTTGGTATCTGACTTGATTCTTCAACCTGACCTCCAAGGGGCCCATTCAGGTCCTCCTATTCACCCCCACTTTACATTCTGTCCATCTTTAGTGGGTATGTTAAGGGATGTGTCTAAACAAAATTCTGACTTCTAAAAGAAGGGAGGTGAAGTCAGCTCCATCAGGGGTCTTATTTTCAATATATTTTCTCACCCTAAAATTGACCTTTATCCTGCGTCTGCCTGCCTGACTACCCCCAAACCCCGCCACCCCCATCAACTAGCTCTTTGCCCCTCTATCTTCCCCTCCCTTTGTTTCTCAACTTTCCAACCTAGTCCAGCTCAAGGTTATGGCCAATGGACAGACGGATGGGCTGGGCCTACTCTTCAGCTGCCTATCTATCTTTTCCCTAGCTCAGATTCCTGAGAGTGGGGCCATAGTAGCTGCAGGGGTGGGGCAGAAGAAACACAAGGTTGGTGAGCCCAGCATGTGTGTTGGTTTGAGGTGGAGGGATCTGAGCAAATGCAAGCCTGGCCAGGACAGGTGTGAAGTGGCCATCTTGGAGCCCAGGTGAGGGCAAGATAAAGGGTTCCAGGAAAATCAGCTGCAGAGAGCTCTGTTATACCCATCTGTACACCCAAAAGCCCCCACCCCAAGAAGTTGGCGTTCTGATTATGGAAGGTTGTAGGTGGGGTCTCTGAATGTCTTCTTCCAAACTGGCAAGGCTGGGGTCAACTTAATCCATAGGGGCTGGGAACAGGGGAGGGCTCTACTTCTACCCAACAGGCACATCCAAGTCTTGGCATTCCCACCCGCTATGGAAGACTGAATACTCACCAGGAAAGACAAGGAATCTGGAAGCTGTTCAAGACACATTGGATCCGCAGAAAAGCATAGTTTGGTTTAAGTGTTTACAGAGGACACGTACATTGTTCCAGGGCTCAGGCTTCTCACCCCAAAAGATTTTTCCTTCTCTATTTATTATTTTCAAGATCTGGCCAGTGGCTCTGGCACCAATGATAGACATCATTTTAGCCAGATCACCAACAGTGCCTTGGACCATGGATCATCATAGCTGAATCAGCAAGAAGGGGCTAGTACCCCATGGTGGCTGAGTTGGTCCTTGATGTGCTAAATGTTTACGCGTATTATATTTGTTCCTTGGTCTTTTTTCAGTGCCCTTCCCACCCTTCCTTCCACCTTCAGGTAAATTTCTCCAGCTGTCTAATTTTGTGTCCAATGTAAAATTCAGTTAACCTAATGCAACCTGTCCCCTTCTCAGAAGCAGCACCCACACCTTCTCCTCCCATGTGGAAAGTAGATGTGTTTAGGGTGGTGGGAGGAAAAAATTCTCCAGGTGGATGGGAAAGGTCTGGTCCAGGTTCTCCCCACCCTCATCCCATTTCCGCCAACTGGGGAGCCATGACCACTTCTACCAAGGACGCCTTCATGCCAAGGCTCTCTCACCAGCTGTCTCAGACAAGAAATGAGGCTAATGTATGAAATCGGCAGTGTCTTTTTTACCTGCACCTTTTTTATAATATATTGTAATACTAAAAAATATTAAATCCATACCATCCCCCTCCAGCCTACCTTGAACCTGGTGCCTTCTTCTTATGAGGGACTTGAGGTGTCCTAGGGAGCAGGCTCAACTGGTGGTGCGTTGGAATCAGCTCATACTGGCTCTGAAAGCACAACTGTAACATTTTTCAGGAATTCTGCAAGCCAGCTCATGTGGTATATAGTAGCTTGAAATTGGCCTTGGAATTTGGCTTTTTCTTTTCCCAAGAACCTGCTGTTAAATATTCACCAGCACACTTGGGTGTAGGGCAGTGAGCAGGCAGGCCGAGGGTGTCACCGAGGATAGATCCAAAGCCTATCCACATAGAAAACCCAGCACACGAGCCCAAAGCTTAGGGATATGAAACCCAGGAACCTCTAATTGCACCTCTGATTTCTAATAGCCAGTGATGAGCTTCAGATAGACTCACCTGACCGTTTTCTGTAGATGGTGCATTTCTACACCCCCCACTCCACTCCTGCCTTCTCCTACAGGGAAGACGGGAGGTATATGAAAGATATGCACCTTCAGCCTTTCCAGCATCTCTCCTGCTCCTCTTCCCCAGAGGAGTGGGCTCTGGGATGGGGTTGAGGGGTGGACACGAAATCCTAGCAGCTCAGTACTCTGTGCACAAATACAGTCCTCATTCTTGCATCTCCAAAGTTGGCACTGCAGCTTTATTTTGTGCGCTGTGAGGGCAAAGGCAATCTTCAACTCCCTTCTTTCCCTGATATATTCCAGAATAAAGGGGTGTTGGTAGTGGGTGGAACAGCCATGCACAGGGCCAGGTGTGGCATTAGGGATTAGGCAGGAGTCCTCAGGGCTGTTAAACGAGGGGAACCGAGGAAAGGGAGTGGGCAGGACGGTACAACTGTTAAACAGAAAGCCTGCAAATTTAAAGAGACAGAGACTCTCTTTCTGAGGATGGATGTCAGACAGGGACCGGGCAGGGCTAGGATTCCACAGACTTGGGCAGGCAAAGCTGCTGAAGAGAAGTTGTTGTACATTCTTAGTGCAAGCTGTGCTTCTCCCCCTCAAAGTGGGTTCCTCTGCTTTGTAAGCCCTTATTTTGTCCCCAGGGAAGCAGCAGAAGAGAAAATCCAAAGTGAGAAGTGGAAGTTATGGGCTGGACTGTCTGAAATAGTCCACAAAAACAGTGTGATTTTTCGGTTATCTAGCACTGCTTGTTGTGACCGCCTCCCATGACTTTAGTGTCCAGGAAGGCTGAAGGGCCTGCTGGTTTCCTCTGAATAAAGGAAGCCTCGCAGGTCATCATAGGTCACCTAGTAGTAAGGGAGTGGGCTGACCTTGGGTTCCTTGGGTGACCTTGGGTTTCTTGGGTGACCTTGGGTGAAGGTAAACAGTGACAGGGTTAAAGAAACCTGACATCTTTCCCTTGGCCCAAATTGTATCCCATTTCTTGAACTGGCTGGGCCATGGGTGAGCGGGGGCAGGAGGTCTAAGTCCGATGGAAATCGCCCCGCTGACCCCCAGTCTTGCTAATGAGTTTGATCTCCCCCAACACGATGTCCCTGCTGACAGCCTTGCACATGTCATACAGGGTGAGGGAGGCCACAGCAGCTGAGGTCAGAGCCTCCATCTCTACCCCAGTGGGGCCCTGAGCCCGGCAAGACGCCTGAATCACCACAGCATGGCGTGTGCTGTCCAGCTGCAGCTGCACCTGGACATGGCTCAGGGCCACGTGGTGACACAGAGGAATCAGCTGGCTGGTCAGCTTGGCTGCCTGGATTCCAGCCAGCTGAGCCACCACCAGGGCATCTCCTTTCTTTAGCTGGTTCTCTTGGACGAGTTTGAAGGCCACGGGCCCCAGGAGGACTGTGGCGGAGGCCACAGCCACCCGCTCAGTATCTGGCTTACCACCCACATCTACCATAGTTGCCCGTCCTTCTGTGTCCACGTGGGTTAATCGGTCCGATGTTGGCAGGGGTCCTGAGTGGGTGGCACGAGCCTGGGACATGGGGCTAAGGCACTCTGGGTTGGTATCTGTGTCTGGGTGGGAACTGTAGTGTCTCTGAAGGGAGCCAGACCCCAGCTGCTGCGGGGCAAGGCGAGGGCTCTTGGAGACCCAGCATCCTTTCCACAAAGTTGGCATATGGTTGGAGAAACACATTCTGTGTCTCAGACCCTGAACATGGATGGGGTCCCTGGAGGAAATGCTTGGAATGGCTGGTGGAGAATCCTGGAGTATCAAAAATAACTCTGGAAGGCAAGAAAGAAAAAGAAGAAAGACTAAGACCAAAAGGTAATTCTTTTTCCCACTTTTCCTCCTAACCCTTTTCCTACCCCACTTCAAGTTCTATCTTCCACATTGGGGAAAGAGGAATGAAAAAACAAAAACAATAGCAAGAAAAAGATAAAAATAGAAGATACACAGATAGAAGGTCCCTAGAATACAAGCATGCAGCCTTTCTCATCAGGCGTTACACACACAGGACAACGGCCCCAGCAGTTTCCAACTATCCTGTAGTGGTGGTATGGGGGCTATTCCTGGGCACCCCTCCCCACAAAAACTTTGTTGTCGAAGTTCTCTTAAGAAACACCTGAGATCTGAAGACAAGCCTGGATCAGAATTACCTCTTCACATCTATTCATTTTCTTAAAACTACAGCGAGGTCTCTGCATGAATTACCAATTACAGCTACTCTCATCTTCCCATTCTCTATGAAGAGTTAATAGTAATCATGTCATTTACAGATGAAAATATTTAATCTATTTAAACAATGTCTTTCGAGCTTCCTCAAGCACATCAGACAGGCACACAACATGACAGGCTGATTTCAGTGGCCCAAGGGCCTTGGAACCTCGCAGGCTCTTGTTACTCAAAGGCTGTTGCAAGGACCAGCAGCACCAGCACCATCTGAGAACTGCAGAGCCGCAGAATCCCACCCCAGACCTCCCAAATCCGCATGTGAAATCACAAGATCCCCAATGATTCAGATGCATAGGAAAGCCTAAGAGGCTCTGTTCTATGTAACTCCTGGCTTTTAGAAACCTACTTTAATTATTTTATATCTTGGAGAGTAATCATATACCTTATGAAGCAAACGAGTTTACCAACTTCCAGCTTTCAGTCATGCTCTGGACTCCCTATCTTGTTAACGTCAGAGGCACAGCCTTCCTTCTGAAGGAGCTATCAAGGCACCCCCCACTCCTTGTCATCAAGGTGTGTCAGCATCGCTCAAGGCCCAACAAGAGAATGAGGATGCTGGAAGTGGGGGAGGAGAGATGATAACGTTTTCTTCCCGGTGGAGTGCTCTGGTGAGCTCCATTTCCTCTGGGTGGTTGGTGTGCAGTGATGGTCCCTGGGCTTTCTCAGGCCCACTGGCGTCTACTCTATTCCTGGCTATGGGCTCACTCTGCTCTAACCCCTGCAGAAAAGTATCCCTTCTCCAAATTTTTCTCACTACTTTCTCTTGCCTAGTGGCACAATTCAGGGGTCCAGGCCTGACTCTGGCAAAGGGGATAAGGCCTCCCCTATTCTAGTCTGGGCCTTGTGCCAAAGAGGCTCTTCGTGGCTCAGCCAGTTCCCCCAGGGCTGGAGACCACATCCAGCTCTATAAAAAAGGTGTTTTTATTTGAAGCATCCTATGCACTGCGAGATGTCCTAACCACATAAGCTCCCAGGAGTTAAAAAACTGGAAGTTGAAATCCTTGCTGTGTCCTCCCTGACAATATGAGTAACATTCTTGTTTAGCTTCCTGCCTCAAGCTCTGCTTGGCATAGAAGCTAACACATCAACCCACAGATGCTATTGGTCCGGAGATACCCATGATTGGCCCAAATTACAGAGGGGATGAGACACCTGTAATTGTATTCAAGCTGGGAGATTCTAGAGCTGAGGACAAGGACTCTGTCTTAATCAGGAGCTCCATATTCAAGGAACAACTAATTCAGTGATCATTAAATCTGGAGGACCCCCGTCCCAATTCCTGGTGAGACAGAATGATCATTTCTGTAGCATGTTTAGTGAGGGAGGACCGTGCACAGAGAAGAGCAGAAGCAGTAAAGGCAGGGGTATGAAAAGATGAAGGAGGAATAGCAGACAAGTAAGGATGAGAGTATCAGGATGAAAAGCGGGAAATAGGGGTGCCTTATCACAGAGGCCCCACCCCATGGGAACCCCCAATGACAAGGGTGAGTGGTTACGTACTGCTGAGTCACCCACCGATGAGGATCATGGGCCGGTTCTTCATCTGGGAAATATTGAACATGCCTGGGGTTAGGGAAAAAAATGGGCAGAGGAGAGCAGGGAAGGGAGAGAGAAAGAGCGAGGAAAGGAAGTTCAGTGACCCAAACATGGACATAGTGGTGTGACAACCCCATGTACTTGCACTCACCTCTGTACACCTGACAAAGCCCCCACTGTATACTGCAAGGTCATCTATGACTGAGCCCAGAACACTCTGTGGACGCCCAGGAAGGCAATGTGTGGGATGAGAGAGGCAATGACACTCCTCTCCCCGCAAGCTAACACAGCCCAAGAGAATTCAGGGTCCCGTCTCCTGCGTAGCCTTTGCTTTGCCAACTTCCCCAAGGAAAACCATCACCACACCCCAAATCTAGAGGCATAACTGGGAATGAGGATAACACTGAGTTTTGCTGGCTCCCTGCCAGGCTTCCCTTTGTCTTCTCACCCAAAACTATGGCCCTCACTCCTGCTGGCCTTCTCCACACATGCTCCTTACCAGCATGCTGCCGCTTCTTCCTGCCCACGGCAGCCCCGATGATTCTCAGCAGCTCCTCCTCAGAGGCACCTGCCCGCAAGTGATCCCGCAGAGATACCTCTGAGCTCCCAAAGAGGCAAACCTGCAGGGGATCACCATGGGGGTGAGGACAACATGCCTCCTTCATCCCTTGGCCTTGTCCCTGATCCCTAGAGACCCCCATGGGCTGAGTGCCAGTGCCCGGGCCTCCTATGGCTGGGTCATACTCAGGACAGCACTTCCTGCAACAAGGGGCAGAAGGTGCTAGATGGAGGAGTCAAAGAGGCTGGAAGGGAAAGAAGCAAAATCAGACATCCCAAGGCCTGTCTCTGATTTACAGTCATGTTGCCTTCAGCTTGTAGAATGTACTTTCAAAAATTAAATAGTTGCCAACAGAGGCAGCACATCAAAATCCAGATCAGGGATCATCCCCAGCTGGCTTCCACCTAGGTTTGGCTGATGGGAGTTGAGAGGGTGAAAAGAGAGAGAGGCTGGACATTTACTCCCCGTTTCCTCTCTGTCCTGACTTCTTGGGCAGTGCCCGCTTCCCTTCATAACTACAATATCAACCAGGAGGCCACCCTGCCAGCCTCCAGTTCTCACGGGCCCCAGTGACACCGCCTCCTCCCCTTCAGCTTCCCCCCAGGGGTGGGAATAGCTGTTTGCTGCTGCTCACGGAGGGTCTCAACATCCCTTACAGGTCCCCTTACCCTGCACTATCAATAGCCTCCCTTTTTAATCCATTCTTCAGAATCCCACCTTCCATTTCCTGCATGGCCTTGACTTATAATGGACATCACCCACTGTCTGAGTCGATTTTATATTCCCAGCCCAGAAAAATCTTTTTAGCTTTTTAACAACTGCTGGATGATTTCTTTGGATGTCAAACATAATGCATCTGAACCCAACCCTCCTCCCTACCCCTTCACCCCAGCAATCCTAAACAAGTCTCAAAGCCAATTAGCCACCTAGATGACTTTCTCTCCTCTCTCTACCTGCGTTACCAAGTTCCTTCATTCATCCTTCCCATCTTCACTTTATGCTCTTACATATTTGGGACATCTCTAAATGGCCATCTAACCAGTCTTCCTATTTCCAAATTCAACCTGTTGGTTATTCTTCCTAAAACACGAATGGGGGATCACGTCGCCTCCATGTTCAGAAACTCTGCACAGTGTCCTGTCAACAGAACATACTCCACATCTTTTCGCTGGGCATTCGAGCCCACGACAATGTGGTCTCCCCATATCCAACTTTAATCTGCCCTAGCCATATTAACACAAAGCCCAGATATGTCTCTTCCCCAAGCCTCACTTCTCCTACCCCAGCCATTCTTTAAGGCTCATCGCCAAGGTCTACAATGCGCTCTCTCAAGGTCTAGCACCCTTACTGCCTGCTGGGCTACTCATCTGACAAAGAACATGCACTGCTATGCACTAGCTCTGTTTTGCCTTACCAAGGAATCTTTATGCTCCTGAAGGAAATGGGCAAGTCTTTGCCTCCCTTTCATCCTCCACAGGGATGAATGCCCAGTACATGCTGATTAGATATGAGTGAAGGAGGCTGGTTTCAGAGGTGAGTTCCTGGCCTGGTGGAAGTGGCAACCAGGGTGGGGCAGGGGCAAAGTGCACACTGATTCTCCAACATCTCCCAGCCCCTACTACCTAGTCCTGGAAAGTGAGTTCCAGTCAACTGGAAGTTACTTCAGGGAACCAAGTAAAGAAGAAATCAGGGTGACAATTTCACAGGGGGCCGTGAGTTCACCTTCACCTACTGCCCAATGACCTGCCCAAATCTGATACTATTTCACCAGCCACCTTGTTTTTGCTCTGCTAGTCTCCCCTCCAATCGGAGGGTGCAGGTGGGAAGGGATATTCAGAACACAGAGGTGGCAAGGGGCCCTCATGGAGAAGGAGATACCTACCTTGAGGTTCCCATCAGCTGTGATTCGCAGCCGGTTGCAGGTCCCACAGAAATGCTCAGACATGGATGTGATGAAGCTGATGTGGCCTCGGAAGCCAGGGATTTTAAAGGTCTGAGGCGAGGAAGGCAAGAGGGGTGGTGGAAGACATATGGATGGAGATGGGTCACTGAGCGCCAGCTCTCACTCCCTGACATCAGAGCCCTCACTTCATAGCCCTCTTCAAGAGGATCCCTTCAGAAGCGAGAGTCCAAGGCCCTCAGTCAACAGAAGGCTGTCACACACAAATGGCCCGTGAACTCTGCCTGTGCTTTGCCTGCCTGAGAGTACACTTGCTAAGGATATGGGGGCCTGTAGAAAGCATTGCCAGAGCAGGCCATGTGGAAGAACAGATCAAGCACCCCCTCCACCACTTATTGGAGTGTGTCCTACAAGTTACCTAACCTGCTTCTTTATCTTTATCCACGAAAAGGGGGGCTATTGTGATGGTGCTGGAATGCTTCCTGCTTAAATAGTACTGCCCTGCATCACTGCACTCCAACCTCACTGCAGCCCCCACCAGCTCTCCTGTCCTAGGGTGAAGGCATGACCTCTTTACCCAGCCCTCCTGTTGCCCTCCAAACCTTGGCTGTGCTGGATTCCTCCTCGGGCAGCTTCTCCAGCTCTGGCCATTGCTGCTGGAGAGTATCGAGCATCTCCTTGTAGCTGACCATCTTTTTAAAGTTCCACTTGTTGCCTGTGTTAGGGTTGAAGGCTACTGAGTCACAGCATTGCAGGACCCCATGGGCTTCAGGGTCATTTGCCATACAGCCCAGGAATCAGTTCTCTTGGAAGGTCAGGAGGCCCTGCCTAAAACGGGTGGATCGAATCACACCCACACTCGACACCGAGGAGCCTTTGATGTCCCTGATGCCCCATAGCAGCTCCAACCCTGGTGCCTGCCCGGGCTTCTCCCCACCATCCCTGCAGGAATTCCTATACACACAGTAGAGTCTGAGGTCAACAGCACCCACAGGGTAAGCCAGACCTTGCTGCCCCACTCAACCCTCCCCAGGGTCACCATGCTCTGTCGACAGATCCAGCCTCCTCTTCCTTCCCCTAACTCTGCCTGGAGCCACTGACCATCAAAGGGCATGTACTCTATGAAGCGCACGTCCAGGGGGAGGCCCTCAGTCAGGGCCACAAAGTCCAGGAGCTCGTCCTCGTTCAGGCCTCGCATCACCACACAGTTAATCTGTCCGGGGGAACAAAAGGACCATGAGGGCTATCGCTCGGGCTTTCTTTTGACCTTTGGAGTTCTGGTACCTGCCTAGGCTCTTCAGTATAGGGTCCCAATCCTTGCCTTTCACCCCACAGCTCTCCTTGGGTTAAAGGATACCATGAGGTCACTGATTTTCTCCCCTCCCTTGAAGGATGAGAGGCAGGGCTGGATGCAGTAGGTAAAGAACTGGTTGGGGGGACACTACAGCTGTACTGGCCAGGGCTGGGAGCTGGCAGTGAAAGGCCAAGCCAGGGTAGAGAGGACAGGAAGGATAGTTGCACTGGCATGTCCTCACCTTCACAGGGCTGTAGCCCAGGTCGATGGCCTTGTGGATGCCCTCCATGACCTTGTGGAAGCCTGCAAGGAGGAAGAAAAACAGTCCAGGAACTTCCTCCTTTTCCTTGGCCACCACACACCCGGAAAGAGGGAAGCACCAGAGCTGTAAGGAGCCTCAGAGACCACTGAGTCCAAAGGCTGGCAAATATCTTCTATAAAGGGTCAAAGAGCAAATACTCTAGGCTTTGCAGGACAAGAGGAAAAACTGAAGATATTATGTAGGTGTTATGTTATAAAGATTTTATTGACTAAATTTAGGATATGATAATAATTGAATACACTTTTTTTGTTATACAGGTCTACAGATGGAATGGAAGAATTGAATTCTTTTTACAGGGATATTTTGCTTGATTGAGGTTCACAGTTAATGTTCTCTATCATTACATTGATTGTAATGCCACCAGCAAAATCCATCCTTGGCTCACAGGCTGTTAAAAAGCAGGCAGGAGCTGGATTTGGCCACTGGGCTGTAGTGTGCAACCCTGAACTAAATGAAACCTCTCCTAGTCGAGAGGAGGAAACTGAAGCCCAGAGAGAGGCAGTGCCCTGCTGGTGGCGTCACACTGCATCTTTTAGAATGCTGGTTTCCCGACTCTCTCGTCAAGACTTTCTCAACAGCCCAGCCGTTCATTCACTCTACATATTCTCGCCAAGGACCTACTTTGTGCAACAGCTGTGCCAGGGCTGGTGAACAATTCTAACGTGTGCAGTTCTCACCTACCTCTGTGCCTACCCTCAAGGTGGCTTCTCCTCACACCCAGCTCGTTCTCAGCTCATTCCTGCATCCAAACATTGGAGTACCCACTGTATGCAGGTCCCCATCCCACCCCCAGCCTGCACAGTGATCATGAGTACTTCTCAGCTGGGATATCTCTCTGAGAGTGGCCTAGGGATGACCTCCATAATGTCCTTGCAACATTTTCAGATGGCCCCGTGAGGGAGGGCAAGGGAAGGAATGTGCAGCTTTTATACAAAATGCTGTTAGGAAAACCTAGAACTTTTCTCCTCTGTAAACACTCTTGCCTCCAAAAGGAGGCAGTGGCCACATGAGTGAGAAGTAAGATCTGATGTTAGGATATATACTGTCTCCAATCCTCATTCCAGGAAAGGAGACAAGGAGATTGGGGGGGGGCCACTTCTTTTCCTTGCCTCTGCCCTCTTCCTCTCCTGGTGTCAGCCTTACCCCACAGGCAACAGTAGTTGTCATGGGCGGTTACCCTGGAGCCTTTCCAGGCACCATCCGTGCTTCACTTGTATCATGTCCTGTGTGTGTGTGTGTGTGATGTCATGTCATGTCGGGGGTAAAGCCCACAAACACACCTTCTACTTTCGTACCTCAGAGCCTTTGCAGGTGACCAACATTTCCTCTCAGAGTCTGCTCTCTGGATCTGAATCCTCGCCAAGGCCCAATGTATATGCCTTCTTACTGAAGCTCTCCTGGTCTTTCCCTGCTAGGAGTTCTCACTCCCTCTCTGTAGTGCTTTAATCGATATTACGAGACAAGCAAAGGTGGTCCAGTGGCATCACGCCTTTTGGCAATTTCCTGTGTGTCAGTCCCCTCCCACAGCTTGTGGAGCAGCTCTTTACAGAGGACAAAGACTCCATGAGCACTTCCTCAGTTCCCAGAGGGGTGTAAACAGCAGCTCACATGTGAGGCAAGAATCTCTGCCACAGAATGAGGCTCATGACCCAAGAGACATCAGGGCGCAGTGGCCTGATGAGATCTGGGGCTTGGGTGCTCTACCTCTCCAGACCCACCCTCCCTGATGAAGCCCAGTGGGAGGAAGCTGTGGGTATGCTCGCTGCAGAGGAAGAGAGGAGAGACTGATATCTAGGACAGACACAGGAAGCACCAGTGAGGTTGCTGGGGGATCCCCCCCTGGCAGTGCTGGTCCTGACCCTGACACCTCAGGGCAGCTGCTTCTACCCTAGGCAGCCCCACATTACTTCAAGGCTCGTTATATGCTAACTAACTCAACCCAGTTTGTGAGGGATTATCTTGGTTTTAAAACAGAAGGTCCTGTATTCTGGAAACCCTTAGTCCTGGAAAAACTGGGGACAGGGTGGGGAGAGGTTGGTTACCATAGCTCTTAGACTCTGATCCCAAAAAGTCCCCAGTAGTGTGGCTATAAAGACAAGGGACATTTGGTGCAGGTGAGGAGTGAAGAATAAATGTCTAGGCTTATGTATGGTCCAGACACTGAGAGAAAGAGAAGCCAGGCTTTTTGCCCTAGTGCCAGCCACAGCTCCCAGCTACAGGGCCTAAGAGGAACAGTCCCATTGTGAGCCACATCTGATCACCTTTCCTGCGGACGATGAACTCAAACTTGGCTGGTACCAGTGTGTCGAGGCTGATGTTGATGGCACCGAGACCAGCTTTCTGAAGCTGAGGTAGTAGCCGGGCTAAGTTGATGCCGTTGGTGGTGACGCCAATGGTCCTCAGCCCCTGCAGTTGGTGGAGCTGGGCTGTAGAAAGAACAGGAGAGGGCGTCAGCCTACTTATTCTTGGTAAGGCCAGGAGAAGGGCTGGAAGGAGAAACTCTGAGTCCATCTAAGATGAATAGAAAAAGTGCTCTCTGCAGACCTCTATTAGCTAGGTTTAGTTTAATAAGAAACATAAGAATAAAAACAATGATAAAAACAACAAAAAGATTAAACACTGAGTGTTCAGTCTGCTAAAGCCTCTACTGAGGGCTTCACTCACTGAAGCCTCACAACAATGATGATCTCCATTTAATAGATAGGAAAGGATGGCTCAGAGAGATTAAGGAAATTGCTTAAAATCACACAGCTAGTATGAAGAACAGTTGAGAATCAAAGCAACGTGTACTTGACTCCAGGACTATGCTCTTAATAACCAACTCACAAATCCTGATACTGTAAATAATAGTAACAAAAAAGTATTTGGATTCTGCACTAAACTGACTCCTCCACTCCACCCAAAATCCCTAGAAACAACAGAAGGATCAAAATATAACCCATAATAGCCTGAGAAGGCAAGAAAGAATGTCTTCGATGGTCCAGAAAGGTGGAGAAATACTGAAAGATAGAAAGCACTGGGGATCAGATGGATTGAGGAGACCACGGTCCAAAGAACACACAAGAAAAGGTTAGCAGTCACACAGACAGGGAGCAGAAGGGTCCTTGGTTATGTCAAGGAGGTTGCCACTCTGCGGAATTACATTTGGATAAGTTAGGTTAGTTGGCCTTCCTCCTGTCCCTGGGAGCAGGGAGGAGGCAGCAGCTTTTACCCAAAGGCTAGAGCACTTATGCTAGCCAAAGGGGGTGGGGGAAGCCCTGAGTAGCTGCTGATATTTAGGAGACATGGGAGCCCTGAAGCCCAGAAGTCCAGAAGGCCCTCATACCCCTACTTCACAAGCTCAGAGGCAACCAGCATAAACAGAAACAGCACTGACAGCCAGGCCAACAGAGGCCTTGGACACTGAGATGAGTACAGAGCCAACATTTAAGGATAATGTTGAGGAAAAAAAAGAGAAAGGAGATGTGAAAGAGATAAAAAATGAGCCTTTTAAAATCCAGAATTAGATGAACATAGATGCAAAAATCCTCAACAAATATTGGCAGACCAAATTCAACAATGCATTAAAAGGATCATATACCTTGCTCAAGTGGGATTTATTCCAGGGATGCAAGGATGGTTTGACATACACAAATCAATCAATGTGATAAACCAACCTTAACAAAATGAAGGATAAAAAACACGGTCATCTCAGATGCAGAAAAAGCATTTGACAAAATTCAATATCCATTCATGATAAAAACTCTCAACAAAGAGGTATAAAAGCAACATTGCTCAACATAAAAGGCCATATGTAACAAACCCAGTGCTAACATCATACTCAATGGTGAAAAGCACAAAGCCTTTCCTCTGAGCCTGGGAACAAGACAAGGATGCCCAATCTCACCAATTTTATTCAACACAGTATTAGAAGTTTGAGCCAGAGCAATTAGGCAAGAAAAAGGAATATAAATCAGAAAGGAAAAAGTAAAATTGTCACTATTTGCAGATGACATAAGACCGAGAAAGCCCTAAAGACTCTACCTAAAAACTGTTAGAACTAATAAACAAATTCAGTGAAATTGCAGGATACAAACTCAATATACGAAAATCTGTTGCATATACACTAATAATGAACTACAGAAAAAGAAAGCAAGAAAACAATTCCATTTAAAATTGCATCAAAAAGAATAAAATACCTAGGAATCAATTAAACCAAGCAGACGAAAGACTTGTACACTGAAAACTACGAGATGTTGAAGAAAGAAACTCACAAATAAGTGGAAAGATATTCTGTGTTCATGGATTAGAAAGATTAATATTTTTTAAATGTCCATACTATTTAAGCAATCTACAGATTCAATACAATCCCTATCAAAATTCCAATGGTATTTTTCATAAAAATAGAACAAACAATACTTAAAATGCTCCCTGAATTCAAATTATCTTACAAAGCTACAGTGATCAAAACAGTACAGTATTGACATAAAAACAGACATGCAGATCAATGGAACAGAATCAAGAGCCACACATTTATGTTCAATTAATTTAAGATAAAGGAGCCAAGAATATACAATGGGGAAAAGAAAGTCTCTTCAATAAATGGTTAGAAAAACTGCACAGTCACATGCTAAAGAATAAAGGTGGATCACTATGTTACATCCCACAAAAAATTAACTCAAAATGGACTAAAGAGTTGATATGAAATGATAAAACTCCTAAAAGAAAAACAGCAGTAAACTCTTTGACACAGATCTTGGCAATGATTTTTTGGATTTGACACCAAGCAAATGCAACAAAAGCAAAAATAAACAAATGGGGCTACATCAAATGCTATTCATTGTATCATTATTTAAAATAAGCCAAAACATGGAAGCCACCTAATTGTTCATCAATGGATGAATGGATAAATAAAATGTATATGTGTGCGCGTATACATACATACATATATATATAGAAAGATGTTAATAAACATTTTTATTATACTTGTAAAATGTTTATATTTAAAATGTTTATGCTTATAAACAAAGAAATATAAACATTTTCTTTATGTACATAGACACATACATATACACTATGGAATATCATTTAACCATAAAAAGAAGAAAATCTTGCCAACATTTATGACAACATGGATGGGCCCTGAAGGCATTATGCTAAGTGAAATAAATCAGACAAAGACGAATATGGTATCATCTCACTTATATGAGGAGTCTTAAAAAAAAAAAAAAAACGAGTAAAACAAAACTAAACTCACAGATACAGAAAACATATTGGTGGTCGCAAGAGGTGGCTGGTGGGAGGAGGCAGTGAGAAAAATGGGTAAAAGATGTCAAAGGTATAAATGTCCAGTTTTAAAATAAGTCCTGGGGGTATAATGTACAGCACGTGACTATAGTTAATAATACTGTATTTTATATTTGAAAGTTGCTAAAAGAGTAGATCTTAAAAGTTCTCATCACAAAAAAAATTATAACTGTGTGGTGACATATGTTAACTAGACTTATTGTAGTGACCATTTTGTAATATAATCAAACATTAAATCATTATAGTGCACACCTGCAACTAATGTTATATCAATTATATCTCGATAAAAAATATCAGAGTTAATATCCCCAGAGGTTAAATATTATACCCTGAAACAAGAAAAAGAACTAATTAGAACTCTCAAAAATAAAATATATATAGTTAGATATATATTTTTAAAATATATATAGAAAGTTAGAAAAAATATAGTTATATGAAGAAAAAAACTAGATAGAAAAGCAGCATGGACACACACCAAAAGCAAATGAGCAAGCTGGAATATTGAGCAAAGGAATTCTCCTAAAACTGTACACAAAGGAACAAGACTAAAAAAAAAAAAAAAAAAAAAAACCACCACCACCACCAAAAAAACCCAAAACACCTACTCATATTTAAATCCAATAAAGTCTAGAGAAAAGATACTGTGTCAATGTGACCAAGGGATAGTTATCTTTGATCAGCAGTATTTTTACATGTACTTATTTACAGATAAAATTTATTTCAAACCACTTGAATGCATGAATCTTGATGGAAAATAAGCTTAGCTCTGCAGAAAAGCAGAAACCAGGAGTGAAGTGCCCAAGTGAAGCTGGACTGAGAAAAAGCCAGATCACAAATTCAGCCCGCAGTTTAGATAGGGGTGTGCAGAAGTGCTTATAAGACTGAAATTATATAATCTTTCTGGAGAGAAGTATTTATCCGAAATTTAACCTAAGGAAATAATCATGCATGTAAACAACATTTACCACAAAGATGTATATTAGGGAGCAATACTTAATAAAGGGAAATCATTCTGATCACCAAAAATACAAAACTGGCTAAATTATGCTTTGCCTAAATGATGGAATATAATGCAATTAAAAATAACTCTGTAAAATAATATGTTAGGATGTTGGGACATACACATACTATATTAATTGAAAGAGGTTAAAAACAGTAGTTAAAAAACTAGGTGCAAAGAAAAAAGACTGCAAGTCACCAAACCAAAATGTTGACGTTGGTTACATTTGGGCAGTAGTGATATTCTTTTTGCTTATCTGAAATAAACATGTATTAATAAGAAAATAAAAGTTTAAAAATACAAGTTGCTTTAAAAAAGTTTTACTCTGCGACTCTGCCAACGTGGAAAGTGAACAGTAGTTGATGGTTCCCTCCAACAAATCAACCCTGGAGAAACACAGAATCCAGAAACATTAATAAATAAAATCTTGAGAAACTCAGGAAGATGTATAAATCTTTTGAACTGGTATGGGGGAGGGGTTTTGTAACCTGGGGTTGAAGGCACCTGGCAGAAAATGTAAGCAGTTAAAGGAAAGCAAAGCAATTTAACTCTATTCTTGCCCTCACCCACTGATGGCTCAGAACAAGCAATGTCCCCTTCCTGAAAAAATTGGTGGCATCGGCCCCAGAGAACTAGCTCAGGAATCCACTGATGGTATACTCAGGTAAGCTTCCAAAGCCCTGCTGAAAGAGGTGCTGAAGACAACAGGTAGGGGCTGACAGCCTTATGCATTCCTTCCTCCACCATCCCAAAGTCCCAGGACTGCTGGCTTAAAATCAAGGGTGAATGTCTCCGTCCAAATCTGCTTCTCCCTAAGGGTTTAAAGGTGAAGACTTAAAGGACTGTCATATTATATAACTCCAGGAGGTGCCATTCTCATCATACTCAAAATGAATAGTAACTCCTGGAGTTGTGCAGTACACAACCTGTACAGCCTTACATGGCAAGGTTGGCCATTAGGTGGGAAGTCAAACATGAGTGAATAACTGTGATATTCTAGGACCTTGAGCTCCCTGGGCCTATCAAAAGCTAAAATCTGGCCTTAAACTCTTTTTCCATTAAGTAGTGCCAGGTGTGTTACATGCCACTGAGTCAACTCTGATGCCTGATGACCCTATGAATGAGGGGCCCACCATGTCC